CAGAAGAGGCCAGATTACGTTTCTGCAATATTCTCAAAAACTAGCGATCAATTTGAAGCAACCTGTTGCAGGAAGAAATAGGTGTACTATAGTTACTAAAGAAAGATAATTCCATCCACGTCACCAAAACGGACAAAGACAACGTAACGGTTGTCATGAATCGAAAGGACTATGAAGACAAAGTGACCGAACATCTAACAATGGGTCCTTATAGGGAAGGTCGAACAGCAGAAAGAATGTGCAACTCTCAACAAAACCAAACTTCGGTTTAAAGAAATAATAATAGTGATAATGAAATAAATAAATAAAACCCAAGCTGGGTCAGGCACGGTGGTAGTCACTTGCACCAAAATCCAACTCTACTGGTTGCCAAAATTACAAAAAACGGTTACCCCCATGCGTCCCATCTTGGACTATACTACTTGTTCAACTTACAACCTATCCAGCTACTTGAACAGTTTGTTGAAGCCATCTTATCAGCCGGTGCTAAGTCATGTGCATGACGCCTTTGATTTCGTCAATATCCTCCAATCTACCCACATCAATATTGATGAAGTAGCATTCAGCTTTGAAGTAACAGCTCTTTATACTAGTGTACCGATTAACGACTGTCTATTTTTTTGCCCTCTATTCTGTGCTACGATGTATCTCTAGCACAGAGAACAACCTTATCCCCCGTTGATATCATTACTGGTGTTGAACTATGTCTCAGCACCACGTATCTCACCTCTTAAAACGTACTCTATAGGCAAATTGACAGTGTCGCTATGGTCTCTCCCGTATTACGCATAGTGGCTAACCTTTTCTGGCGCCGTGTTGAAACTAAGGCCTCACGTGTCTTCACCCATCCACTATGCACCTGGGTGGGATACGTTGACGACATATTGTTATCATTTCAGCCAACAAACGGCAGTGATATGGAATTCATGATGGAAACTGGAAACGAGCATGGGACTATTATTTCACTGAACTGACTGCAAGTTATCCGTTAGCACTAGCCATGAATCTCAGTGGGAATCCACAAAAAACCCACACATTCAGAAAGGTATTTGCATTCTAATTTTTCGTATCCACACAACGTCAAACACGCAGTTGTCGGATGGGTGGTGAATCGGGTCAAGAAACTATGCTCGGATGAGTCCACTTGAGCGGACAAACTGAGGCGACTCAGTAGGGTATTACGGCAAAATGAATACCCCCATAGGGCTCATTATCCAACACATGGGAAGAACGCCATCCGGAGTGGTGAGGCAGGAACACGAAAACCATGGGAATACCCTATGGAGAAGGCACTTCAGACGCCATTCGAAAGATACTTTGGGATTATGATGTTAAAACCTTCCTTCGAATTGGTAAAACCTTACCTCATAAGGGCCAAGGACCCCATCAAACCGAAATAGCGCACAAACCGCGTCTTTCAACTTTCCTGTACAGAATACCCAGCCAAACAGTCAGGCAACTCCATGTGCGAATCATGGAGCACGAACGGCGGGCGCGTTTTCCTCCAAGAAACCCAATAGGGTTAAGAAAACACGTGAACGCGACTCAGCCATTGCACTCCACGAACTTGAGTCAGGTCATCAAATCAACCACGATAGTACACATATACTGGAATCAGGATTCAAGTCTACGTGAAACGGGCGTGCGCTGAAGCCCTAGAGATCAACACCCAACCGAGCTGCATCAACCGCCGTGGTGGCGCCAGCATCCCGTCTCTCTGGCTTGAACTTACTTCACACCTCAATAGGCATAGTAGCCAGATGTCAAAACAGAATCTCATCAGCGGTGCCTCACAGCCAGCACAACAAACGGAGGCGCACTCTAATCAAATCACACACCCAATCACGCGAACACGCACACAGAGCTAGCACACACCCACACACGCTGATCGCATCGGACTGGCAGCTGATCTCAGAAGCACACCACTCGGAAGACGTGATAGTGGACCCAAACGATGTTGCATTGGATTCGTATTCAACTGATTGTAGAACTCTTCGAAAAACGTTGACCATATCAACCGAAACGTCGGATTATTCCACTATGCTTTGTTTTTACTTTGAAAAATTCCATATTGCCTCTAGTCTTCCTTAGGACAATCTCCGCATCGTTTTTCTCATTGCGTTCATCTTGCACTGATTAGGTCAACCCAGTTCTTCGTGGTGTCTAGATCATTTTCAGAGCTTCAGTGGTTCATTTTCTAGACTGTAGCTTACTCGGCGCATATAGCTTGTCAAATCTAACTCACTGAATATGTGATGCGACAGGTGTCGGCACCAAAACAGAGCGCGCACGCTAGACATGTGACAACCACGTGACCCACAGTCATTTTCTGGACCGGTTTCACCTGCTATTGATGGTCAGACGGGAAGAGGCATTCCCAAGCATTCGATATTCCACCAAAAATTTTAGAAGAAAATTACGGAACAAGCATGGTGCTGGGATGATAGATCATTGCGCCAGAATTTGATCTGATGGAAAATTCTAGACCAGGTCTGGAAGTTCCACCATTCTTTAAAGTAGAATGACAACCCATCGGAATCAACTATCTATGACGGCACGTTTGCACAAATTCTGTTGGTAGGGTTATGTGTTCTGTCAGCACTTAACGGCATCAAAAAAGCGTAGTCCTCAATCCACTCAAGTCTCATTTTCAGTGAGCTAACAAATCCCTTGTGCCATAGTACCTGCTAATTTGACCTCACAAGTGACTCCACCAACAGCCTGCAGTCATTCGTTGGCCGATAGCTTATCAACAGGTCGTGTTCGCGACAATTATAATGTCCTGTACGGCACCAGGCTAAAGGTTCACTATTCTGTCACTAATGTTAGCCAACATGTATTTACGCTGGGTTCGGTTGTTCCGTTTCCTTAATGCCAGACCAACACTTCACTCGCGGCTCTGGCACTCACTCCAAGTCTTCAAACGAACCTTTCCAGCCGATATGATTTCATGTAACAACGGCAGAATCAAAGGTCATTTATGACGCAATTGGTACACCAATCCCCAACACTTTTATACCCTAGCTGTCTGAGGTCTCACGATCGAGCAAATCTCAGTGTACCTTCCTACACACATGGTTTGTAATCTCCATTAGAGCTAATTGTCTCCAGTCATTTCACAGAAATTTTCTAGCTGGATACTTCTGTCTCTCTTGGAACCAGACAAAAGGGTTTAGGTAAACAACCCATCCAAATGTCCCGATTGTGATTCTCGAAGATGATTTGATCACGGGGCAATTCTATTATTGTATTGAGGGTGAGTCAAGCTCACAGTGACAAGCCAGTGAAAACACATTCAGGTTAACGCCGCTCGCGCAATCCGACAGATTAACCATGCACGCTCAGTGTCCATATTAGCATGCTTTCCACCGATATGGACTTGGATACACTGCTCTCGTAGATATAGGTAAGCAAGTTGCCCTTCCACTACTTATATGGCATCTCTCGGCTTGAAAAACAAACACTATCGCTAGACTCAGTAGTGCTTTCTTGTTTCTCCGTCTAGGATAGCCACCTAGTCAAAATTCCAAACTCATGACCGAAGCTGGAGCACTATTCAGCTCCGTTGAGATTATGCAGGTTAATCGGTGGGACTGTACAGTCTCACTGGCTCTCCTATTCCTATACGAATTTCCCGCGAATACCACGGTCAGGAAGACAAAATCTGAGCATCATGCCAGCGCTTGGTTTTTAGTGATGAGAACCAATCGGTGGACCATGCATAACAGCAGTGCAGCTGTCTTTTATGCTCTTGAATTTATTAACTCTGCTCTTCAGATTATTAATGCTGCTCTAACACTTATTCTTTCTGCTCTTCAAGTTGCGTCTGCTGAATGGGGTTTTTAGATGTTGTCTACGCGATTTCGGGCTATAGACTGGATTGTTACCTCTGGGTGACTTGCTCAACAACAGTCGTGTTATGCTCTAGGTCCACCAACTTCTCGCATTCTGTAGTAAGCCGCTGGCCGTAAAGCTGAGCCTGAAGTTTGCTTCCCCTTTTCAAAAACATCTGTTCTTATGTTGGACTCTTCCGGTGAATGGGGATCTCATACAAGGTGAGACACTGTTATTATTAGTCTTCCTCATAGTATCAAGTGTAGGGTGTTCACGCCAGTGAATTACTGCCTCCTCTTAACTGGTCTTATACCCTGGCATCGTTGAGTACAGATTGCTTACAAAATATTTTGACAGAGCTTTTGTTGTCACATCAAAGTTAGATCATCAAGATGTCTGGCAACGAGCAATTTGGTGAGTTGGACATGTACCAGCTGAGAGTGAAGCAGTTGAACTCTCCGAGAATTTTCACAGTCACTTAAGTCTCAGTCACTCAAGCTTCACGCTTCCCATTAGATGTGGTACCACTCACGAAATCAACATTAATACATTTCGAGAAATACACTAATTTGCAAATCAATTTGGTTTTCACGGGAGAATCCAGTGAATCTCTCGTTTATGATATTCTACAACTGAATGTGCTGCACACAGGCCGCATCTGATTCAGTTGGCACGATATTCGAGATATCGGGGACTGCGCCTTCCTGATGAGCCCCAAGAAGGGCGAAACCGGTCATGGGCTGTCGAAGAGTTTTCAGCAACCTTGTGAGTAGTTTCGTTTATGAGGATTAATTCATTTATTCCGTTAACGATAGTCTCCATAACTCGTTGCGGCCCTGAGATTCTGCGTGGTCGTTTGATGGGCTTCATCTGCGCCAGCTGAAATTGCTATAGTTTCGTCATGAGGAGTTCTTGAGGCAGTCTGGAGAGTACTAGTTCACCATTTTTCGAAAGGTTTTACGCAAAGGCCAACACAGACCTGGACAAAACAATGCGGGAAAACGACCGACGAAAAGATAACCCTGAGTATAACGTAACAAAGAGAAAAATTGATATGGTATTAGTGCACAGATGGTGATAGCCATAATACAAATCAGAAGGTATGTGTGCACTAACAGAAGTTTTTAGTATTTCTGCGACACGTATAAAAATGAATACAATGCGAAATGGGAGCAAGTCAAAAAAGGGAACTTATCGGATGTTGGAGTCCCTTGGTGAAAGTCCAGACGGTGGTAACGTGTTTTCTCCGCAGTTTTGCTGCTGCACGTGTTCCATGGTTGTCCGTGGACTTGGAGTGCTTGCTCCCTGCGCGCGCGCCAGTGTGTCCTGACTGGGTTCGGTTTCCCTTTATGTAGGTCCCAGTGCGTATACGTGGGCGCGTCGGCGCATGAGTGGTTGCTACGCTGACTAGGCGGTGCAGACAATCGATGTCCGATGGGTCAGCTTAATGCGACGTGTTTGTGCGTATGAGAAAAAAGACAAGCTGTGCGTATGAGACAAGCCTCGCGATCCAGTGAGCGATTGAGTTGAACAGTCAAGTATATGGGTGACTGGGTCGCTACAATGGATCCAAGCGACCTATTCAGGAAACAGATGAAGCCAGGAACACGACTATCTATGGTCTCGGTTCGTTTCTGAGACTGTATCAAACACTGAATAACGACACAATAAAGCCTACATTAGACACGACTTGATGGCATTCGAAATTCGTTACCTGGAGTTGGTGGGATACAATGATATTTCAAAAAGTTGACCTGGGTGCTCATGCAGATCTACTAGTCAAGCCTGTCAGGTGCATGGCTAAAAAGTGGCTCGCACCGGCCGCTTGTCAGACATAAGCATGCTGTACCAGGCTCTCAGCTCGAATGCACCATGCTGCAACGTGCACCTGCAGCTAGGACGTTAAACACTTAGGTTAGGCGATGACAGAGAAGTTTCAAAACCACAGCGGTGTCAGCCAACCAGTTTACTCCCAAGTTATTGGAAAAGTCACACTAGCCTATGCGTTTGGCGTAGTACATAGCCGAACTTCCTGAGCAGCCAAGTCATGATACGAATTCATAATGAATGCCAATATTCGTTGCAAGGTGATATCGTAAACACCAGCTTCGAACACACTCAGCATCAGCAATAGGTTACTCCGGTCATGTGGTTGCTCCTGAAAACGTCAACCGTAAGTCATGGCATGGCATAGCTTTGTCTCTCCATCTCTCCGAACGGCGGGTTGTCTACATGTTTGAGTTTAGACGTAACTGTCAGCTATAGAAGCTGGCCACTCGTTGAGCATTGATATCCCTACCTAGGATGACCTCCCTGTGTGTCGGGTACGGGAAATCCACACAGATTCTTCTGTCAAGATTGATGAAGCTGCACACCACCTCCAATGTCGAAACCCACTAAAAATTAAAGAATACGGCTGACCATAAAAGAAGGTAAGTGACTGAATGTGACTCCAGCAGAATGCTAGAAAAATTGGTTTCCAACGCAAACATCATAGGAACAAGCATTTCCCTATGCCCATTTGAAAAACCACTGCAATTCGTGCAATTTTTCAGGTATTCCGTGAGGACTACAGAAAAAGCAAACGAAATGAGAGTATCACTCAAATTATATGTATTACCCTTGGTAAAATCCATAAATGCACTCAGGTGGTCTGACAAAGACTCGCTCAAATAACTTAGTCCTTTCTTTCAGTGTTTGCGTGAATGGGTTCGAGCCTATAGTTTACAAAGTAGCTCGAACAATTCGACAAAAATACGCACTTAAGCTAGCTGATCTCTTCATGCACTTTCTGCAACAGTTTAGTTTGTTTGGATCTCTTGGTGCATTCAACAACTATGCCCAGTTTGGTCAAATTGACCGTATGGGAACAGCTGGTATACTTTTTAGTCACGAGTTCTGGTGGTAACCACTATGCCAGTGGTTCTCCACCGGATAGGGGGTTTCCCTCCAGGATGGCTTCAAGATTTCACGGGGTGATAATTTCATTGATTTGAAGACATTAGCTATTCGATTCGTTTGCAGTCTGAATCCACGAAAAGTCGTCCATATCAAGCTTATTTTGTGTTGTTCAAACGCCACCCTGTCTCGTGTGTTATTGACATCAGGGATGTGAAGATAAGTGGCGCCACTACAAGGTATGTTTAATTTTACGCGGAACTTACCATCAGAACTCAACACGGATCAAATCGAAATCGCATGATGCCGGAATTAAGTTTCGTTCCAGTCTCAGTGGAACACTGGAATAGCCACTCTGGACAACGACTGAGGTGCCATACAGTATTTTCGACCATTTTGCCTGAAGTTCTCCAGTTTGATATCCGTCACAAACCATTCTCAACACAAGAATGTCTATCAGCAGAACCCTATATCCCACATCCCTTCGTGGGAATTGTATAGCACACTCCAAAAGCAGAGCAAACTTTAAAGGATTTTCCTAGAAGGATGATCATAGTAGAATATATTTGTATGAAACTCAACATTGATTTCTGAAAGCACTTTAATACGGAACGATAATGATTACTGATAGTATGAATATGGATAGTTTGTCTTTCTGTACAGTACGCGAGAGGTCATGGGTTCATGTTCAGTCCAGGGGTCTTTCTATTCTTGTTGCATGTACTAAGATTCTGCATGGCAAAAAATACAAAAAAAAATAGATTGGTTTACGTTACAATTTAACCTTGCCAGTTTTGTGTGGTGTGAGTTGTCTGATGGGCAGTAGTAATAGTTCCACAGAAGTGTAGCACAACATATCCGATCCAACACATCCACCTGTTTGGCACCGTTTGCACTTCCGATCTGAGTCACGTCAGAATTACCACCGGGCTTGTCCAGAGAGATTCCACATCACCGAGTCTTTGGACATTATGACTTCATACTTCGCTTCACAATATTTTCAGTGACTGGACTGAAAGGACCTATTGCAGTCCAAAGGAAGCTTCGAGTATGGTGGTAAATTCCGTGAACGGAATGGCGTTGTGCTACATGCAGCTTGAATTATCAGACAAAGACGATGAAAACGTAGTTTTACCATGAACTAAAATCGGATCCCTTTTGGGCCACTGAAAAGACCGGAAGTGTTCAAGGCTTGTATTTGTCCGACAAACTAGTTGGAATGGTCAGATAGGATTTTGGTCCAGTGGCCACCTGAGTTGTAAATAGTGGAAACAAATGAACAACTGTCATCTGTCGTTTTTCCGCGGCTGACATTCAGTGTGAGTGGCTTTGGCAAGCTTTAGTCAAATAGCCACAGTTCCACCGGATAGCTGACGCGCCAACCGGACGGTCTGACGTACGTCATAAGATCACGTCACCTGCTCGTGTCACGTGTGCTGGCACTCGCATCAAGTCCTGTTGCTGTGCCGGCGTGGCGTGAGTGATCTGGCGCTCGGCAGAACTGTCATCCGATCAATACAGACAGAAAAAAATTATTTTAGCCGTCTGGCTATTCTGCCGGTATCTCGGAGGCTCAGTGTCGTTCTCTATAAAGAACGGGTGAGCTCGGCCGAAGCGGCAAACTATGCCTGGCCTTAATGGACCTGATGGCAAACACCTTCAGTGCGTCATTGCAACGTAGCTCTGTTTCCCGATTCTCACAAGTTCAAGAACGGGGTCAACTGACCGCACCAAGCCCACGGTAAAAAAGCGTTTTCGAAACGTAGCGTGTGTGCTCTGGGTGATGTGACAGTCGTGTAAGCCAGTTTTATGGATTGTCTGTCTGCTCGTTCGTACCCTTCACATACAGCTGGAATGCGAACAAACAAGCTGGAAGCTGTGTCGGTAAGGGAATCTGCAGAGTCGCCACCGAGAAGTCTTGAACTGATGTTATATCCCAGTTGAAATTTGCGCAGCCATCCATGACAGGATTGAAAATGATGTTCATCAGTTCCAGCAGCAAGAACTTTCAATTTTCCTTTCAAAATATCGCCCGCTGTTGACATTCCTTTTACCATACTGACAGAAAGCAGGCTCGACTGATTGTGCTGAATACACTCAAGCGAATCCTTAAAACTCTACTACCGCTGATAGCTCGTTCTTCCCAGAGGCCTTCACTAAATGCTATTGAACGAGTTATGTCATGAATTTGTTTATTTTCAGTGATAAGTTTGAAACCTGTGGAACTAAACGATGTTGCTTCTGGTTTTAGTCCGATCACCATCATTTTTCAACATATCTGAGCTCGAAGCAGTCCAGCGGCTAGGAAGCGAAACTGTCTTCCAGGAGATCCGTGGTCCCAGCGGAACCCTGACTTTTTGATTACTCCTGTCTAGACCTGACCATACTAGAACTATCTCAGCCCTTTATCCTCCTTCGAGTTGAACGGCAGCTAGGTGCAAGAAGAGTTCAACGTGTGGACTATTTCCCTCATCATCCTTTTCTCCCTCAATACTGCCACGAAGGCTGTGCCACAGTCATTCAGTTGTACTTTTCCTGATTGACCAAACAAGCTAAAAAATTATAACTGCGTCAGCGTATGAGAGCGGAGCAAACCTTTTATTGTTTTTGCCACCACGCCACTAGGCACCAGCCTAAACTTCCGAAACCTTACTGGATGTCTTGGCAACAGAACAGCGTGTATGACTTCTTGCCCATCTGTCTGTTCTGTCTGGTCGACAACGCCTACTTTGTTAGCAAAACCTCACTTAACGAGTCAAAAGGATTTCAAAGCCGTTGACTTACGTAAAACAGTCTTCTGAGGTTCGTAAATGACCAAAATGTCATCTTTTGGGTTCATACTTATATTCGCCGTCATTTTACGGTAGTTTTCGGAAATCACCAGTCACCACAGGCAGTTGGTAGCTGGCAACCGAGTGTCAGATTGTTCTCCCCCAAGGAGATTTCGCTCTTGGAAGGCACCTGTACCAAGCGATTTGGCAAACAAAAAATCCGTCCATCCGGGGAACCTCTGCTATCGGGTGGATTAATTTACTATGAGCAATAAGCCGATAGCAGCTGCTAACTAAACGCTCCAATGTCGCATCATCGAGGGGAGCCCTCGTGGAGGAACCAAAGAGACCTGATTTTATAAAGGAAACTACCCACGAGGTTACTGAAAACTCTTCGACAGCCCACGACGGGTTTCGCCTTTCTTGGGGGCTCATCAGGTGGGCACAGTCCCCGAGTTTCCGTCAACCTTATGTTCTACTAGAACCCAAATTGGACTGTTTTCGAGAAATACACTCATTTGCAAATCAATTGAGTTTTCACGAGAGACTCAACTGAATCTCTCGTTTACGATATTCCACAACTGAATGTGCTGCACACAGGCCGCCTCATGATTCAGTTGGCACGATATTCAAGATATCGCAGTATATTTTCATGGAGGCGCCTACTCACAAGGTTGCTGAAAACTCTTCGACAACCCACGACTGGTTTCGCCCTTCTTGGGGCTCATCAGGTAGGCGCAACCTCCGAGTTTCTGTCAACCTTATGATCTACTTGAACCTAAGTTGATTCTACCGGATTCTACCTCGTAGCTTCACTGAGCAAGTAACTTCACCCTGCAGTCTTTAGGGCCGCTTTCCTAAGTGCACCTTGTCTGGCCTGACTCGACCGGGAAAATCCTTGAATGGAGAGGTTCATTGGAGCATTAGATAATATCTTTTCCAATCACTGCCACCAGCAACGTTCTCGTACATGGTAGCATTGAGAGAGTTACAGTGCTTTTTGGTGGATACTGCTTACTGTGACCAGCAAATGTAGAAACTTGAGTCGGTTGATAAACAGGTCTTTGGAAACAGCTTCCAGGAACTGAAACTCACGAACAGTTAATTAACTTTACTCCTAATCAGTGATTACTATAGACTGGTTCGACGACATGAGATTGCCTAAGCATGCAGGTCAGGCAGACCCAAATTCCACCTCCGGATATAAAAATTTCCGAGAAGCAATTTGAGTGATTAATACATCTGATCAGAAGGTTGGAATTGGCAAAAAAGCACAACCGGTTATTAGGTTTTTGGTTATTTGAGTTGCCTGTTACTATTATTTCTGGTTGTGATATTAAGTGATTTCCTGATATCCCCGTGTCCTGGCTAGTGTCGGTCTTTGGCTCCGGCCTCGTGTGTAACACAGAATCAAATATGTCCCTGTGAATACAGCTACTTGTTACCCATATTTCTCACGAAACTTTCGACGGCGACGTTATGGATGACAGCCGCGTGAAACGTAACTGGTTTGACTGTCAAAAATATAAATACACTTCTCCATAGCAAGGTGTTCTCTTGCACAATGAATTCTAAAAGTCGGTTAACGATAGAAAACTATGAGATTATA